ACCCGATGAAGAAAATCAATTGTGTTACCGAGATCTGCTACCATTCGAGGATCTGAGATAAACAAATACAAGTCAACTAATTTTCAAAACAACTCTTTAGTCGTACATACTTTAGCAGCTACAAGAGCTTAGAAATACACTCACACATGCAAAAACAATGTTTTAATTTTGCGAAAATAAGAAGAGCTGTAGGCTTCACTGTACTAAAGCTGCATTCCATGCGCTATAAATTTTATAAATTCAATATTTATCTGGGAACCTCAAGCGCATCAAAACCTGCTGCTTTCGGAAGTCAGTTTCATAAAATAACAAGCCAAATCTTTCCCTCTACGCCAAAAGATTCCGCAGTCAACGAGTCCAAAAAAAGGAATCTCTTGGGGAATCATGAGTCATATGACTTAGCAGATAACAGTTGATATCAACGGCTAGTACGCATGATCAGTTGCATCTTCAAATCTGAACCTAGTCTGTTTTCATGATACTCCCACTCACCGGGAGCTGTTGGCTCGGGAAGTCGAAGTCTTTCAGTGATGGCATACATTTCGATTGGAGTAAATTCGAAATACTTTGGAGACGATTCGCTACTCGTCAACCATTCTTCTCCAACTCCTCCGAGTCGAACCGAAAGATCGTCAACAATGGAGTGGATTTCCTGAAATTTCTGCATAGATATAGAAAGATTCTTAATAAGATATAACCACATAATCGTTTTATGACAATGCAGAAGCTGAGAGTTCACAGAATTATATAAGAAACAAGATATGACTTTGCAAGAGTTTGGTGAACACTTGGTTCGTTTCAAACTTTAGTCGTCGATAATTCAAAATTCACTCCATTTCGACAACATACATGCGTTTGGCCACTTTCACTTGAGTTTTTCCCTGAGAAAATTTGAAGAGAATAGAAAACTTTAGTAAGCGGATTTCTACAATGCCAAGAGCGTGTTCCGCTAATAACTAAATCCGAAATGTGCTCCAAGCTTTCTGACAAGGTGTATAGTGTGAACCATGATTAGGTAGAGTT